GAGTCTCAGGACCTGGGTTCACAACCTTGATCTGTTGCTTTGATTTGGACAAGTCTCCTGTGCCTCAGTTTCTTCACTTGTCAGACTTTTCTTCTGCACATAAAGCATATGAGGTGTGTTTAGCTATTCATGTCAAGATTAGGTTGGCAAAAATAGAAAACTCTCCCTTTCCTTGAAGGATGTCAGCATTTTCTGTTAGGATCAGGTCAGATATGGTTAACAACAATTGCCATTTGCTCCAACAACTTGGAAGGTGCCCAGGAATAGAGAAATGTTGAGAAGAGCACAAGCCTAGCTTGGCTGCTGTGGCTGAAGTGCCTCTGGAATGTGCCTGCATCCACTGAGCCTCTGCAGAGTGAGTTATGAGCTTGGAAGCAGCTGTGGAAAATGGAATTTGCCCTTTGCAGGGAGGCATGGGTCAACTCCCTGCGAGCAGGAATGCATAGCAGTTACTGCCTAATTCCCCTCTCTTTGTTCCTAAAGGAACCACCAGTGCCCCCTGGCATTGCCCATCTGCCTTGGGCCCTTGGAAGCCAAGCTGAGCTTCACAAACACTTTTTGAAAGATGGCCTCCTATCCCAATAGTTTGTTGTGAAATGAGTGGGTTGGGGCTTACCTCTACAAAAAGGAGTCCTTCTTAGCAGAAAAAATTAGGTTGTAAGGACTTAAACTTCCTGTAATTCCCAGCTGGGAGGGCACTAGAAGGAGGAGATATAGGAGGGAGGGAGGGTTGCTGGAGCTAATGGGCCCACCCAGGACTTAACAATCCTCAGAATGATAATAATGACCATCGGTATACCACTTTTAGGGCTGAAGAGCCTTTCTCTATGTTATCCAATTTGATCTCTTCTGAGAAGAGAAGAGAAGGGTCTGCACATGGAAATGAAAGGTTTTTATAGAACCATGGCCATGGACCTCAGAGGTAGAAGTACCCATATTTGGAGTTATCCTGGAACACCTAACAGCCATGTGCATGTGTGTGTATGTGTGTGTGTTTGTGTCGTACAGGGTTTGATTTGCCAGAGACATGGGACCCTGGGGGTTGGGAAGAAGCCCAGAGCAGAGTGGCAACCTGGAATTGTTTGTGGTGAAAGGGTTGTCCTGTGAAAGAAGGATGACACTTATTCTGTGTGGTTGTCAAAGGCAGACTCAACCTGGGGCAGCTAGGTGGCACAGTGCATAGAGATCTGGCCTTGGAGTCAGGAAGACTCGAGTTCAAATCCAGCCTCAGACACTTAACATTTACTAGCTGTGTGACCCTGGGCAAGTCACTTAACCCTGATTGGCTCACAAGAAAAAAAAAAGGCAGAGTCAATCAACCAATGGTGGTCAATCAATACTTATTTGTTTATTTTGAAAGCCACTCTTTTTTTTTTTTAATTTTCACATTGGTCATATTGTACAGAAGAATTAGAATGAATGAGAGGAACCAAGAAAAAGAAGAAACAAAACAAAGAAAAGAGAGAGAGCAAATAGTCTGCTTCCATCTACAGTCAGACTCCGTAGTTCTTTCTCTGACATGGACAGCATTTTCCATCATGAGTCTTTTGGAGATGTCTTAGATCCTTGCATTGCTAAGAAGAGCCAAGTCTATCAAAGTCAGTCATCACAAATGTGGCTATTACTGTGTACAATGTTCTCCTGGTTCTGCTCACTTCACTCCTCATCAGACCATACAAGTCTTTCCAAGTTTTTCTGAAGTCCTCTTGTTCATCATTTCTTATAGCACAATAGTATTCCACTACATTCATATACCACAACTTGCTCAGCCATTCCCCAATTGATGGGCATCCTCTCAATTTCCAATTCTTTGCCACCACAAAAAGAGCTGCTATGAATATTTTTGTACATGTGAGTCTTTTCCCCATTTTTGTGATCTCTTTGGGATAAAGCCCTAGAAGTGTTATTGCTGGGTAATACTTATTTATTGGCCACTGACTCCTCACCTGCTAGGCCTAGGAGTGATGGGTGGAAATAGCTGAGGGATGCCATTAGGCTGATTGGTAGGACAGACTTTCTGACAATCAGAACTAACCCCAAAAGGTTATGGCTATCTGGGCATTGTCCCCTCCCTGGAGGTCTTTGGGCAGAGGCCGGACAACTATTTCTTATCTATGCTTGGATGGGAATGTCTTTAGTGTCAAGGCTATGGAAGCGCCTTCCAAATCACACTGTGATTTTGTAATAAATGAGTAGAGAAGGTAAAAAAGAGAAGAAGTTTGAGGAGTAAGGGAGGGATCACTCTTTGGAAGAGAGATCTCAGTAGGATTCTTTGAGAGGGTGGATCTACATCCCTTAAAGGACAAGGATCTTAATAGGCAGAGATAGGAAGAGAATCCTCATGTTCACATACAGACTTGTCCTAGGCATCCATCCTAGAGAAATGGTCCCCAATACCCCAATCAGAACTTCAGGTACCACCTCATTTATGTGCATATGTTCTTATTTCCACCTGCTCCATCACCCTGGGCCATCCTGCATCTGTCTGCTCCCTGTTTGGACATTCTGGCTATTGTGTAGGGAGGCACATACATTGTGTATGAATGTGAAAACATGAGCAATCCTGAGGACTGTCAACTTGTCCCATGTTTCCTCCTCCAATTAGATAGGACTTGGGACAGATCCTTCAAAAGACCAGCTTCCCTATGACCCATTGGGTGGGTCATCCATCCATTAAAGCTCCCTTTCAAACCTCTACCCTTCCATTTTGGTCCTATGCACCCTCTCTCTGACGATTGGGCCATGTATACAATCAAGGGCTTTTGGGGATGGTCTCAAGCTGGGAGCAGCTGGGTCAGGTTGGCTATGTAGCAGCTCTGAACAGGCTCAAGACCTGGCATTTGGCACCTGACATTCAAGGAAGAGCTAGGCAAACGTCAGCTCACAAAAGGCAAAAGGGAAAACTGGTGTTAGATGAGGGAACCAAGCTAGGAAAGGAGGCAGGCTGACAGATGGATGGCCTGAGGGCCCTGCTTGCCTCTTTGGGGTGGATAACATCTCTTCCTCGTCTCTTTTGGAAAGGTCCCTGCTGGACACATGCCACAGTCCATTTGGTTCTACCCTGCCCTCTCTCTGTTCCTTCTGTTCTCTGTAACCTTGTGCCTACCTGCGCTCTCCATGGTCCTTCTGGTCGCTCATAGCTTTGCATCCTTAGTTCATGATTTGTGATGATCCCATGGCATCAGCCTTTGAAGAGGAGACTGTATGTAGAAAAGAGGGTTGAAGACCATGGATGCAAAGGGTTGACTAGAATGTTCCTTGATTCCCTTGCTGAGCTCATGAGGTGGTGAGCCTTTGTTTAGGTCTTTGAGAGCATCTCTCTGGGGAGGGTGTGGACACATCTAATGGAGCTTTGTTGGAAGATTAAAGACACCTCCTGATTATGACTCCATGAAGAGAGCCGCCCTCAGGATGAATTGAATGGTTTTGTTGATTTGTTGGAGGAAGATGGTTATGCTCACGTTGAGAGGAGCGTGGGCAAGCAACCAAAGTCAGGGTGTGGGGAATCGGAAGTTCTGGATTATTCTCTTAGCTAGTCAGTCAACAAGCATGTGTTAAATACTTACTATAAATGGGCCGGGCCCTGAAAGAAGAAGCAAAGAAAGGTGAAAACACTGTCCCTGCACTATGGGAAGCAATGGGGGGAGGGCAGGAAAGGCCACCTTAAAAAGGTAGGGTTTGAGATGAGTCTTAAAGAAAGCCAGGCAAGCTAGGAGACAGAGAGAGCCAATGCAAATACATGGAGTCTGGGGATAGAATACAATGTGTAAGGAAGAGCAAGCACACCAGTGTGTCTGAGTGACTGTGCTAGCGATAATACTTACCATTTACAGAGCACTTCCTGCATGCCAGGCACTGGGCTAACCACCCTCCAAACAGGAGCGCATAACGATCCTGTGAGGTAGGTGCTGTTATTACCCCCATTTTACAGCTGAGGAAACTGAGACAGTCAGCTAGTAAATGTTTGAAGCTGGATTTGAACTCAGGTCTTCCTGACTCCAGGACCAGCATTCTACTTACTGCATCACCCAGGTGGATCACAGGGTGCACGGAGAGAAGTCTGGTGCAAGAAGACGGGAAAGAGAGTGTTAGCAGGATTTTACTGAGCCAGTCTCTAATCTGAGAATGACAAAAATAGCAGGCCTGAGACAAAGTGCCAGCAATCAGGTAGCCATTTAATTAATGAGTTTCATTACGAGGAACAGATTTGATCTTCTGATCAGAATTCCACCTTGCTGAAGTAAAGACAGAGATTATATATATTATATACATTCGTCACAAGTGGGAAGAGAGGGGGGAAGGTAGATTACAAATAACCCCTCCCAGGGCCAGTGATTTCCCATAACAAGCCCACAAATGGAAGAGAATACAACAATTCTGGAGTCCTGTGGAAGCAATATTGCTCTAGTCCTTGGGAGTCCTCACTTGGTGGGTCACAGGACCAGAATTCTGCGATGGGAATGGATCCTACAATCTTTGATTCACTTCACTTCAGGTACGCAGGCAGAAGGTTGCCAGTGATTGTGAGACTTGTCAAAATTTGATTGATCAGTTCAAGTTTCGTTGTGAGTCTGATTCACAAGTGGAAAAGGCAATTCTGAACAATCCAATCTATTGGTATATTCATTACACATTGAACATCGATTATTATGAAATCAGAATTCCCTCCACAATAGGAAGAAGCCAGGGTGTGTTAGGCTTCAGATGCTAAATAGAAGGTTTTCTATTTGGTCCTGAGGCTAGGGGAGCCTGGAGTGCACCGGTAGGGGGGTGTGACCTGGTCGGACCTGTGCTTTTGGAAGGTCACAGTGTGGTCCAGATGGTGGGCAGGGGTAGCCCCAAGGTTGTGACCTATCTGTGTGGAGTGAAAGAGTGACTCCAGAACCCGAAGGGGGTGACCCACTGGCAACCCCAACTTCCACTTCCTTCTGAAGGGAGTTTGGAGGGCTTTAGGACCTTGGTGGAAATTAGGACTTCCTGAAGAGAGAGGGGAATTGCATTGATTGTTTATGGGCCGTTGCCGTCTTTCGTTCTTTTTTTTTTAGCATGATGTGGCAGAAAGAGTACTAGCTTTGGAGTCAAGAGGACCTGAGGCTAAATCTTGCCCTGATATATTAGGTATGTTCCTCTAGCCAAGTCATTTAACTTTTATAAGCTTCAGTTTCTTCATCTGTTAAATGCACTTATAGGATTATTGTGAGGAGCAAATAAATTTGACTACAAAATCAGCATCTTTTGTGGGGAGGGGGGAGCAGAATAAAGGCTGCTTACAATCTGCTGAGCACAGCTCCTTTGAATCTGGGAGCACTCAGTTAATGGGATCTCCAGAAATCTAAGCAGGAGCAATCTTCGTTGGTTTCTTATAGTAAACTCTGGGTAAGGTCATAATGAGCCAAATTTTAGGCACTGGGTCCAAGATGGAGCAGAAGGCTGGACCCCACTGGTTTATTTCTTTGCCCCTGGCAACCTGGGAAACAAAGGGGAAGGGGTGCCTGAGGGAAGAGGTGGACTGTCAGGAAGGGAGGCAGAGTATGCTCAAAACCGCCTGGTATTCCTGGAAGTGAACTTCAGTGTTGGCGCTCAGAACATAGAACCTTTGTCCAAATGACCAACAAGTTGATGTATTATCAGAAGAGCTGAACCACGTTGATTCTTACTATAAATGAAATCAGAAGACAAAAGAAAGTTGTCATTAAATGGAAGGATGGCTCAAGGATTTTTCCTAGAGAAACAATGAATTGAGCATTTATTAAGCACCTGCTACAAACCAGGCACCGTACTACGTGCTGGAGGTACAAATTCACAGGATGAAACACTTCCCGACTTCAACGAGTTTATCTTCTTATCAAGAGAGATAACACACATATGCATTATATATGTATATATACACACTCTCTTGTGTGTGACATATATGCATACATGCACACAAGAATGAATAAAGCACTTAGGTCCTTATTATGTGCAAAGTATTGTGCTCTACACATATATATGAATACATGACATGAATAAAAAGCAAGATGATTTTCTTGATAGAGGAGGCTGGGGTGGGGTGGGGGGTGGAGAGAATGAGAATAAGCCTGTTGAAGAGGGTGGTACATGGGTTGCACTTCGGAGGGCTTTAAAGACCAGACAGAGGGGTTTGTATTTTATTCTAGCAATAATGGAATCAGAGTTTATTTAGTGACTGAGTGACATGGTCAGACCTGAACTTCAAACTTCCTTCTGGCAGCTGAGAGAAAGACTGGAAGACAGGCTGGAGGAGGGAGAGCCCCAAGGCAGGGAGAATAATACTCCAGGTAAGGACTGAGAGGGGGCTTGACAGAGGGTGGCAGCTGTGTGAATGGAGAGAAGGGGAAAGGTGCTTGAAGAGATGTTGTGACAATAGGAAGGACAAGATTTGGCCACTAATTGGACATGGGGCACGAGAGAGGGTGAGGAGAAAAGGACAGCTTTGAGGTTGGAAGCCTGGGTGACTAAGAGGACAATGCCTCGGCACAAAGAAAGGAGTTGTTGACATTGGTTTTATTGCCTGTTGAGAGATGAGAAGGAATAGAATTTCCTGGGAAATCTGTGGTGCTCTTGAAGAGCAAACTGACCCTTCTGAAGCGAATGGAAGCTTCCTGAGGATGAAAAGGTAAGAAAGTTCTCTGAGGAACTTGAAGCAAACCTCCAAACCAGGGCAACAGGTCCTCAGAGTCATGGTGGCTTCAATGTGGAGGGGTAGGCAGGGACAGATGTTGCAAGATGGGAGTCCAATTTGAGGAAGGAAGGAGGAATCAAAGCCATCAGTGATGTCCCCCTCAAGAAGAAGGGGGGCACATGCTAGGCATGGTAAAAACCAAACAGCACCCCAGAAAACAGAGCAGACCTGATAGAAGCTGACAGGAAGCAGCTGCAGAGTCACGCCACCATCAGATAACAGCCCACCTGGAGCAGATGCCCCAAACAGCATTGCATTGGGAGGAAGGATAAAGATGGGAAGAAGACCCTGTGTGCAGTTCTGAGCTCCTTGCCAAGCACAGAGGGATGGGCTATGTTGGTTAGAGAACACTGACTGGCAATGGTTCCTGTGGAGTACTCCTGCACACTGACTCCATCTTCCGTGACACGTTCATTCTCTTGGGGAGGAATCGGCTCGTAGGGCACAGAGGGACTGTGCCCATGGACAAGATCACAAGCCACATTCTCCCCTTCTTTGGACAATGGGATGATGCCTGCACATGAGAATGTCTGCATCCAGGTCCCATCTCTTCCTGGCTACCTCACCTTTCTGGGTCTCACTTTTCCCATCATCTCATGGGTAAAATGAGGACTTGGACTAGCTCAGCTCTGAAATTCTATAATGCCAAATGCCATTGACCTTTCAATCAGTCTAATAACAGAGTTTAAGCTGTTTGTAGAAACACACCATCTATGAATCAGTGTGAACTTGGGCATGGTTGGAGACCAAATATTTTTTTCTCATTAATTAAAGTCTGGGTCATTGGGCCAGGAGTGGGAGGAGACTTCAGATGAGGCAGGAGGTCCTACATCTCTGGATTAGGGGATGGTCTGGGCAGGGTAGATGAAATATCTCAGGTCTGCAAAAGAGGCTTCTTTCCTGGCCACAACAGAGATTGTTGCTTTTTTCTCAAATCAACACAGCCAAAACCTGAAAGCAAGGACTCTGAAAACACAGAGTATGTGAGGCTTAGGAGGGTTAAGGCTCTCAGGTATAGTCCCAAAAGGCAAAGACAATGGTGGGGGTTAGAGGATGATTTATGTCAACTGAGGACAAGCATGTCTGCAGTCAGATGGACTAGAGCCCAAGAAGGCTTGGCCTTGAAACCAGAGTCACAATCATGGCTGAGAAAAGACTCTTCGATCAAGTAACCCCTACTTAGCAGGTGCAGGAAAGGACAAGGGGCTCATTGCCCATAATCAGCTACTAGGCTCACTCACTCCGAGTCACCAGAAATTAGAAGGACATGGCTCTAAAGGGGGACACAATGGGTCACAAGACGATGGTCACAATCCCCATGAAGAGATGGTTGACCATCTAACCAAAGGCCCAACTCCTCTGGAGTCCTCCACCACGTCCAGGTCACCTTCTTATCCTAGAAGATCACTTTAGCTCTGAGATTGACACCCCAGAAGTACACTAGGGCCCCTCCCTCCCAGAACATCCAGGCAACTGTCTCTACATGTCCCACTAGGCTTGCACTGCCCTGAACCTCTCCACTAGCCCCTGAGCTGAGCCCAAGTCCCTTCTCCTCCCTGTTGATACCCCCCTTTCCTTTCATGTTTTGTTCTCCTCTTAGAACATGAGCTCCTAGAACTGAGGGCCTGTATTTCCTTTTGTCTTGGTATCCCCAGCACTCAGCATGGTTCTGGGTATAGAGGAAGTGGTTAACCGATGCTTGTGGACTGATTGACTAACAAAGCTCCTGACCAATGGTGACAGGAGATAACAATGGGGCTGGAGGGCCCTGGAACACTCTGGGAAGAAGGGCTGATGCATGGTGGCGCATGGTGGCCTCCTTCATCCAGGGCTAGAATGTCCTTGCCCTCTTCTGAGGCAGTGATTTATCAGTAACTGTCCCATGCATTTGTCTGGGTCTGTATATTAGCCAGGCACTCCAACTTGCCTGCAGACCTCATGGCAAGCCTAAGAGGTCAGACGTACAATTAATACTGTCCCCTTTTGACAGTGGAAGAAACTGAAGCTAGCTTGGGCAGAGAACTCTGACAGAGTTGAGCTCAAACCCAAGCCTTTGAGCTACTGAATCACAAAATCTCAGGGACAAGGGAGAATAGTCAGGGCCAAGGTCCTTCCCTGCGACAGCCTCAGCCAGTGAGTCTGGAGGGGCAGCCCGGGCAGCCCTCTATGGGACAGACAGCTCTTATGAAGAGAAAGGTTTGCTTTACCTCAGGAGCCAAAATGAGTCTTTTGGAGGCTCCCACCTATGGCACCTGGATCAGTCCCTTCTGACTGACAGAAGCAGTGTGTCCATGTAGTGTCTCCCCATCTCATAAGTCCTCTGAGAGCTCAGAGAAAGGCTGGCCCAACCCAACCGTTTTCACACGTGGGCCCTTAGCTTGTCTTGTTTGAATGAAGGAGGGAACCTAGGCTAGTCTGAGATGACCATGGAGGCTTAAATAGAAAAAATAAAACCAGCCTCGAGCCCTGCTCTTCTCACACCTATTTGTGGTCTCAAGACTGTTTAGAGAAGGGGATGTCAGGGCCCTGGGCTCCATCTCTATTCCTAATTCCAAACAGCCCCTGCAATCAAGGAGCCTGCATTCTGGCATGGTGCTAATGTCCAACATGGATATATAGAGCCATGCCTAAAATGAGTAGAAGTGATCTTTTGGGGGAAATGGGGGCATCAGGAAAGGTCTCACGATAGAGGAGAGTGCTTGAGTTAAGCTTGGAATGAAAGTAAGTATTCCAAGAAGTGGAGTGGGAAGGAACAGCATCCCAGGCGTGGGGCACAGCCACTGCAGAAGCTCAGAAAGAGGAACTGGCAGGTCATGGGTGAAGAGTGGTGAGAAGGCCGGTTTGGCTGGACCACAGAGTGCATGAAAGGGAGCAGGGTCTGTAAGCCACAGGCTAGAAAATGACTGCTATTTCCGGGAAATTCTAGACCGGTCATAGTTGATGAACATCTAGGAAGGGAAGTAGAGACTGCAAAGAGCCAGCCTGGTTTTATCAAGAGCAGTCAGGCCAGACTACCACAATCTCCTTTTCGGACAGATGGATAGATGGACAGATGGATGGATGGATGGATGGATGGATGGATGGAAGGATGGATAGATAGTTAATGGATGGATGGATGGATAGATGGATGAACTGACCAACAGATAGACCTGGAGACTATTTGTATGGATCAGTATGACTGCAGTTGAAAAGACCTGAGTTCAAATCTGGCTTCAGACACTTACCAGCTATGTGACCCTGGGGAAGTCACTTAATCTCTCTCTGATTCAGTTTTTGCTTCTGTAAAATGGGGATAGTAATAGCACCTACCTCCTAGGGTTGTTGTGAGGATATAATGAGATAGTATTTGTAAAGCGTTTTGTAAGCCTTACAGCTCTACATAAATGTGTGCTATGATTATGCATAAATGGATAAGTGGATAGGTAGATTGAATGAATCAATAAATTTTGTTAAGTTCTTATTGTATGCTAAATGCCGAAGATATCCACAGAGCAGTCAGGCAGTCCTATTCTGATGAGGAACACAACACATAGGAAGGTTTCAGCTGTGAGTGGGATGGAAAGGTCCCAGGGTTCTTAGGGAGCAGCAACCAAGTGGATCACCTGGCCTCTTCTTGAATGTCATTTCCACTGATAAAATCCTATCAGTTTGATGTTGAACAATGGTTCTAACCCTAAATGACCACTGTACGAAGAACTCTGGTGGGCAGAGATGCATTGTTCTTTGATCTCAGGGAACAAGAGGGTGCCACTGGAGCCTGAGGAGGATGGTGACTTAGTTAGACCTGTGCTTTAGGAAAATCACTTTGGCAGCCATGGGAAAGATGGGTTCGGGGAGGGGGAGACTGGAGGGAGCAGGGAGACCAATAAGGAGACCAGTCCAATGGTCCAGGTAGGAGGTGATGAGAACTTGAACTGGGGTGATGGATGTGAGTGGAGAGAAGGTGATGGATGAGAAACATTGGAGAGGTAGAAATGATAAGAGCTGGCAAACTGATTGGACACGGTGGGGTGACTGAAAGGCAAAGGTCAAGGATGACAATGATTATGAGTCTGAGAGACTGGGACAACAATGGTGCCCTCATCAGAAACAGAGAATTTAGGAAGAGGGAGAGTTTTGGGGAAAAGATGGTGAACACTATTATGAACATGTCAAATCTAAGATGCCTATGGGATATCCACTTGAAAATGTCCAAATAGGCAGTTGGAGACGTAGGACTAGAAGATGGGAAAGATTAGGACTGGGTTTTTCAATCTATAAGTCATCTTCATGGATAGAAGAATTAAGTCCATGGGAGTTGATGAGTTTCCCATGAGAGATGGTGTAGAGAAAGAAAAACTGAGGCAGCCAAGTAATGCAGTGGATAGAGCACCTGAGCTCAAATCCTGCCTCAGATACTTGACTAGCTGTGTGACCCTAGGTAAGTTATCTCACCTCTGCTTGCTTCTGTTTTCTCAACTGGAAGATGAGGATCATAATGCTAATTATTATTATTATTATTTAGAAGAGAGGACATGGGGCAGTCTTGGTGAATTCTTCCCACTGAGACACACTGCCCCCCCCATCACACACACACACAAGCTGGGTGTGGTGTGG